CAACTGTGCCAGAAAGTCAGTTGCGTTCATAGCGAAAGCACCTTCATGATTAATGCTCTCAAAGAATTGATGTACTTTTTCGACAGTATAATTAGTATTTGTGACTTAAGTTTCTTAATCAAATATACTTATATAGCAGGGTTGGCATTGATTAAATCATTTGATTTTTTATAAAAAATCATGATTTTTTAATTTTTTTTATATATTTAAATATATTGAGTGGCAGTCTTTAATTTATTTTTAGGTATTGTTATTCGTGGTTTAGTATAAATGTACTATCGAATGTTGATGAATGACAAATTGGTATATAAAATAGAAACTTGTTACCTTTAGTGTGTATTAGGTTCTAATAAATTGAATGTTTTTGGTACAGAGGCATCAAGTGTTGCAATACATTGTACATAGCTAGCAGCTTAGCTAATTCTTATAAGGCTATAACTAAGTACCGTAGTCTTTAACTATTTGACTATTTGTTATATATTGATTACAATTTTACAATTTAAATGTGTTAGCTAGCTTATACAGGGTGGGGCAAAACTGATTGAGCAGTTTTGAGGCAAAATAAAAGAGTAATGGAGGTACATAAAGAAGAAAGTTTATTTTCCTCAAGATTAACATAACATACCATTTAAAATACTTATGTTTTGAAAGCAATATCAGGAAGATGGTGTCTGTTAGTGGCAACACACTGTTGGAGACTAAATTAGTCTCCAACAGTGTGTGGAATTCCAGAGGGGTAATATATTAACTGGTGAACATGGCAAAACGGAAAGCATGACCTAAAAATCTGGAACGGCCAGCACACCTCCACTTTCAGTCCATCATCATCACTGACAAGTCTCTGCAAGCTGCCACAGCTGTTTCATTGGAAAAAGCAGAGCTTACATCATCACAGTAACAAGGATCCAATCAACGCTTGAACGCGTCCAAAGTCACAGTCACATGAATCCAATCATTGCTTGAATGCATCCAACGTCACAGTCACATGAATCCAATCATCGCTAAAACGTGTGCAATGCCAGTCACAAGAATCCAATTACCATCAGAACGCATGCAACGTCACAGCCACTGGAATCCAATCAGCATTAGAAAGCTAGAATGGACCGCCCCGCCCCCAAATGCACACATTGTTAACGCACTAATGCCAATTTAATGTGTAATGCTACACTTCTTATTTCAAGCGCATAATACAGTAATCTAGTTATGTCACTATTGATGAAAATCACAAAGAATAACATCTTCACTTTGTACATTCACTCACAAATACGTGAAAAACTGCCTATGATTTCATTGACAAATAAAAAACTGATCATTGATGAAATCAGCTGAGACATGAAAACTACTTGCGATCAGGATTCAGGAATACCATCTGTAACGAAACAATAACAAAGAAGGTGACATGTGACAGAGATACCAACAATATGATATCAATATACTCTGAAGAAATGAAATAGTTGAATTCTTCTATATTGTAAATTTTTAGTAACTAACATTCAACAGAATGATTTAATAACGGTCGTAAATGTTATACATGCATTGCATGCAGTATCAATCATGTGAAACAAAGCTGGCAGGAAAGCTTTTGGCTCAGCCTGGTTAGTTGACTTAGTTCTCATTACACAACCGGTGGATGAAGCTCCCACCCACGCTGATCTCTTCAGTGTTATACTCCTTAGGTTTTATTCATACACTTCGAGACTATTATTGAGTGAAAACTTTACGTGATATATTGTGAGCCGTCTAAAGTTCTATAATGTATAAATTATGAGGTTCACAGAATCTAAAGGTTTGTATGCTAAATTTTCCAAGTATGCTACCGGTAGTCCAGTCAGTCAACTGAGTCAAGTGTCATGTCGTTGTTGTGCATTGCCTCTTCTTCAATAAGTTTCTCTGATTGCCGATGAGTTTATCCTCATTTTGAAAGCTGACGTAATGAATAGGTGCAATGAATGTTTTTTTTTATATTTAATTTGCAACCATTATGTCAATTGTCAAGAGTAAATAGTACCTATAAGCCATATTTAGTTCTTGACGATGAGCTGTTAGTTTACTTTAAGTAAGGACTATGGAGAGTGGAGAGAGTGAAAGACTCTTTATTGCCATTCATTACTCACTAACGGCAGTCATTATTTAATTCAAGCATTCGTGTTTAGCTTTGTTTACCATATTTGCTGAAGATGATTGCTTAAAATGAAAGAAAACGCAACTTATAGGACTAGTTTTAACATGTTGATAGGAATAGGAGTCCGCAACTGCATAGAGTTGGACTAGGAGTTGACTTCATTAGGTCCCGCTGTATGGCGCGTAAATGTCAACCCATTAATGCCGAGAATTATGTAAGGAGAATTTTTCTGAATTTTTCATGCCAAATGACTCTTTATGATGTCAATAAACAACAGAAACACTCAAAACGGAAATTTATTTGAAAATATGAAAAATACAGCTTGGGAACATATGTGCCCATTCGGCTATAAAATCATGATTTAAGAAGAAATTGAAATAAACCTATAAATACAGTCCTTTGTTAGCTCTATTCATACAGACTTCTTTTTATTTCTCAAAAGCTAAGTAGTAGAGTATCTATGGCTTAGTGTGTTATTTTTCCATGCAGTCAGGATGCAAGGGAACCTTGCGCATCTTGCATATGTGAGGTGTTCTGCCCTGATACTGTTTGCTTCTGCTGCGTGAATGCTCTCCTCTTGCAGTCCCATGGCGCACACTTTCTTCTGCACTACCAGTACTGCATTTATGACCTGTTGCTTTTCTGGTTGTTCCAGAGGACTTCAATGTAGCTAAAACTAAGTTCCTGGAAATGTCTAGTAGGCTCATGTCAGCATGTATTCGTCTGCACTGACGCCAAGCATTTACCACTTGACCATTTATGCTCCGATACTCTCCGATGAATGTCTGATGCATTTCAAAATACTCTCATTAACTACTTGTTGTTCTTATGTTTGCTTATCATAATCTCCAACACTATCAATAACTTTTGTTTCGTCTCTGTGCCAAACCACCTTCTATTTTCTGAGTTTCTTCTCCCTCTGCTGACCATCAGGAGACGACGTTTGATGATCTCTTTTGTCAGTAAGTACTTCGGAAAGTAAGTGTCTTCATGGTAAATGATTGGGATTGCATATAACTTTACTGTCGGAGGCATCAGAGTCGCAGTCAGTACCAGCAGCTGCTTCTTCAATGGGAGGCTCAATTGCAACATTGATTTCAAAATCACTATCATTATCAGATTCTTCCTGAAGTATTTGTCACACCTCGTCCAGGGTCAACCTGAATAAAGAAACATCTAATAAGATTATTTCAATGTTTGAATATATCACTCAAGTCACTTCTTGCAATATAACCCATAACTCATTACAGCAATCCCTTGATTAGCACGGTTTTGAATACCGCGGTTTTGATTAACGCGGAAAAAAAATTTGCGACTTACCCTTAATCTACGCGGTGCCAGTTTTGATTAGCGCGACTTTTTTTTTTCACAACGCATCATTTTCCCGCCTCTAGCCAGAGGTGTTACGTTCGTAACAAAAGTGTTACTTTTTGCTTATTAGATCTTATGTTGTTAACTTTTGTTACGACTTTTGGAAAAATTCGCCAAATGTTGTTACTTTATGAATTTCAGCCAATAATTCTTTAAATAAGGTTCCGTTCTGTAGGCACTCGTGCTGACTACAGAGTCGGTTTAACCGCGCCTTGTCTCGTTCATAACTCGAATGATCGAGTTCGGCAACGTTCGCCGGTAAGTGCGCCATGCCGGTGCTCTAGCCCTTTAAGCCCTGGTGTGATGAATTTGTCACACAGAAAATAAAAGCTTCTACCGAGAGTAATTACGCGTTTGGAGTCTAGCCGCGAGTGTGACGGTAGCGTCACATGTTGTGAACTCGTTCGAACGACGTTCGATGGAGTAGGCGCGCCGCTACTGCCAGTACAACACAAAGACTGCGCTTGATCTGAGAAGTAATTCAGATTGTTTTTTCACTTTCGAAACATAATTCAGTGCGTAAAGGGCTAGTTACTCGTTAGCCTTCAACCGGTCAAGATCGCTGCCATATCTACTGCTCACTTTTATCAAACTGCATAATTTTCCTTTCCTTTGCTATTTTTGAGGATTCATTATAATTATTCCCATACATTCTTAAGTTTGATTAGCGCGGTTTTGCTTAACACGGTAAAACTCGGGGATTTATTAACCGCGTTAATCAAGGGATTGCTGTACAATGATTTTTAGTTGCTGACAATTTATTATAAGGCATATCTGAATTTACATATAAACGGGCCAATATTATCATGAATAGTTTACTAAACATATATTTAGAAGCTACAGAATAGCAAACATCTGTTAACTTCTCATTATAATATCGTACGACACAATAGGAAAGCAATTGAAATAAATCTATGCACATCATATAAGAGAAAGTGCCACAACTTTTGTGTTGGGGGAAATCTTTATTTTATATCCTAACGGGCACATTTGTTCCCAAAATTTACACTTTACTATATGCATACGATATTGTCAACATTATTGATAATTTGTGATTTATATGTAATTGGCGCATTTTCCAGCTACAAATTTCAATCATTGGATGTAGTAAAATGTTTTCAGTAATTGAGGTACATACGTTTTTCTCAGGCGTGGTGGAGCCATGTTACATACACCTCTTTTTTGGTCAAGCTCAGCCGGCTACTACGCATGAATGCCTGGTGGCAGAGAAACAAAACATGTTCCGTACGCATTCTGAACCTTCAGAGAACACACTTTATTAACAGAAAATAGCTAAATGCAATATCTTTACTTTTACAGCCATTTTTATTAGTTGGGCACAAATGTTCCCGTTCGGCGTTAATGGGTTAAACTGTTTAACTAATATGATACAAAGGCATAGATTGCATGCAATTGGGTCCACATTCATTTGAGCTGGTTAGGAGTTGGATGCTAGCGTATTTTCAAAATCAGCTTCAGGTATGATTTTCAGAAATAATATAAACAGTTAAAAAGTAAATTAATTATGACCATAGAAGAAAATAATTTTGTGTGCTCTGAATCAACTGGTCAAACTCTGAACAACTAATACATCAAGTGCGCTTAATCAAGTCGTATATCAACTCGACTTTTGCATTCAAGTATATCAGCAAGATCTAATGGAACTTTTTTCAGAATCAAGAGTACATCCTTTACCAGCTGCAATGCTGTGAGGCCTCCTCAAGAACTCCTTTGCTTACCGGAGAGTGACGTGTCTCTACTCGCGACCTCGGAAACATTCATGCCGGGCGCAACGCTTATGCAGCCTTCCCAAGGTCTCCCTTGCTCATCGGTGACTGTGAGTGACGAGTCTCTACTGGTGTCAGTAGCGACCTTGTAACTTCTACCAAGCACAACATGTGCTCTTCTTTCAGTAGATTCCTCTTGCTTATCTGTGAGTGACCCGCACAATTAACAACCTTGGGATCTTCTCTGTGTTGCCTGATGTAGCGTTCATACCGATTGCCGAGGCCGATTTCTGACGACCCGCAAACCTGTTTCTAGTTGCATGGAACGGTTTTTTTAAGGTGAAATGCTTTTTTTAAGTGAACCTCTAATCTTAGATTTCCACTCTGGTTGGAGTTGTTCTTGGAAGTTTCCTATAGCACATTCACACATATGGCGAGGTATGGCCATAACCTCTGCTGCAATAATCTGTCCCCTTAGATGTGGTAGGGTGTGAGGGCAAGTGGGCAACTTCTGAACACCCTTTCTTTTAGATGTCTCCAAAGAAAGAAATTGCAAATGCTCAAATCAGGTGATCTCGCAGGCATAGTGGCAAACCAGTGATTTTTTAGAATTAGTTCATTTTTAGTTTCCTCATTTACCCAATATTTAAGCCAATATCTTATGTTTGATGATGCTGGTACCCACGATACTTTTCTGGTCTACTTATAGGACTTAAAATTGAACTTGGAGAGTCTAAAAAACTCTCTGCTTTGCTACTATGCTCGCAGGCCACTGTAAATCGCCCCTCAGAGACACCAGACGTCCAGAAAACATGTGTCTCAAAACATTGAGTGACATTCGGGCTGTGTGAGCTGTAGTCCCATCCTGCTGGAACCACACGTCTCCCAATGCTTCATTCTCAACAATTTTTTCCAGCCTGGGCTGCAAGAAATTTTGCAACATTGCAGCATAGCGTTCGGAATTCACTGTCATGGTTACTCCCTCCTCTGAGAACGACTCCAACAGTGTGTTGCAGCTAACGGCCCCCATCTTTCAGATATTGTTTTCAAAACATAAGTATTCTAAATGGTATGCTATGCTAACCTCTAGGAAAATAAACTTTCTTCTTTATGTACCTCCATTACTCTTTTATTTTGCCTCAAAACTGCTCAATCAGTTCTGCCCCACCCTGTATATTGAGAGGTTGAGATTGTATTGACCTTTTAGGCAATTAGAAAGATTTTCCACCCTAATATGAGTATTATAATTAAAATATTTAATTTCAATCTTTAAATATGTGAATTTAAAACTAGAAACAATACAATTACAATTATAAAACTATATATAAAATAATTGAATGCAGTGAATGGAAATAAAATTTTGGAATTGTGCGCATGTTTATTTCAAACAGTGTTAGCTTTTTTTCCATAACTTAAGTCTTGCTTCAAGTCATTTGAGGTTTGTTTGGTTATCATTCAGTTTATGTTTTTGGTATTGGTTTATTGGTCTGAATTAAATGGGAACAGTGCAGTCAGTCAATCAGTCACTACTAGTCGGTGTGTATAGAGGGTAAAGTCAGGTAGATTTATGGGACATAAAACTAGTAGATCTATTGATAGTGCTGTGCACTGTGCTATCAGCTACCTATCTGTTGTGTGACTCTTCAATGTTAAGAAGATCTGCATTACTGAAGTGTTTTTGTATATTGAAGCCAGTTTAATGGTCAATATTTAGCTTGTTACCTTGTTCCATACAAACTTTACAAAGCTAATGAATGGACTTGTCAATAATTGTTTACTCAAAAGTACCTGAGTGGTAAACACAACCTTGGCCTCTTGGCCATTATTGAAGGCAATAAGTGCCCTTTTAGCCATCCATTATGATCCATATACTATTATTGTTAGTAGGCTAATTGCCACATAAAAAATAACCTTTAAAAATGAAAAGAAAAACTGAAAAATAAAAAAAATCATAAAAAAATAAAAAAATCATTGATTTTTTATTTTTTTGATTTAAAAAAAAAAATAAAAAAAATCATCAACCCTGGAGCCTTGAGATTTCATACCTAGTAAAATTATATGATATTAGAATTAGAGCCACAATAACTAAGAAAAAAGTAGGACTTTTCCCAACTACAGTAAGTGCAATAAAAACTGGCACCTAAAAAAAGTGAAATTCATCTACAAAGCCTAATAAAGGTGAAATAAAAAATAACCTTAAAATTTGTTTTAATACTTAGTCATTTGACCTTTTGGCTTCAGGACCCTCTCAAGGCAATTTGGCATACTCCTGGCTAAGTTTTCAAAATAGTAAACATCCATCTCCTGAATCCAGACTCATTTTATTTCCTTCTTTAATTCTGGAAGTGATGTCAAATTCACAATTCTCAGCTTACTCTTCATGTGTTTCCATGCATTTTCAATAGGATTAAAATCAGGGCTATTTCCACACCATTCCAGGACCTCAATACCCTTCTCTGCTAGGAAAGTCTTCACTTAACCCATTAATGACGAGAATTATTTTTTTGATTTTTTTTTTGTTCCTTGTGAGAATATTATCATTTGTGATGGTAATATGTAAAAATATGTTCATATATTTATTTTTCGTTCTGTGCGAAAAATTATAGCTTGGTTCCATATGGAACTGCTCGGCATTAACATAACGTTTCTGCAAACAACACTGTTACCTATAGTAAATCATTCAGAATGAATAGAAAGGTTGTCCATTTTACGAATGTTTGTGGGCGCGTTGTCCACATTGTTTGCATATGCAGTGCTTCTGATGTCTTTTTGCTGGCCGATGTTGTTGATTGCTGTATTGCACTTCATCAAGGATCAAAGTAGAAGGGTGCACTATACATCCTGTTTTTTTATTTAGGGTCTCCTGTATTATTGCTTTTCCTAACCAACCTTTTTGATAAGTCATTGCAATAGCCATTCTTTTTTTTCAAAAGTTTAAGAGAAACCAAATTAAACCAAAATAGATCTTACATATAATATGTTAGCCTAGTACAAATTGCATCATGTTTGTGGGACCAATCTATGTTCCAGCCCATGAATAAGTTACTTTTTCTATTAGATCCACCGAATGGCTTCAATTGCAGAAAATATATCGTCTGATTTATCTGCTGCCCTAAGTTTATAACTAAATCTCACGGGCTAGCCACGTATATGTCATAGCATAAGGTGGCCATGTCAACCGCAGTTGACTTTCTTCTCTGTTGATCAGGGTTGGCGATTTTTTTGATTTTTTTAAAAAAATCAAAAAAATCAAAAATCAATGATTTATTTGATTTTTTCATGATTTTTTTGATTTATTTGATTTTTTTGATTTTTTTCAACTTTTTTGTCTATTTGAAGTGTTATTTTTTTATGTTGCAGTTAGCCTACTAACAATAACAGTATATGGATCATAATGGATGGCTAAAAAGGGCACTTATTGCCTTCAATAATGGCCAACAGGCCATGGTGGTGTTTACCACTTAGGGATTTTTGGGTAAACAAAACTCTACCTCTATACACACCAACTAGTAGTGACTGTAGCTGATAGCACAGTGCACAGCACTATCAATAGATCTACTAGTTTTATGTCCTATAAATTTACCAGACTCTACCCGCTATACACACCGACTAGTAGTGACTGAGTGACTGACTGCACTGTTCCCATTTAATTCAGACCAATAAACCAATACTAAACATAAACTGAATGATAACCAAACAAACCTCATACGACTTGAAACGACACTTGAGTTATGAGAAAATCTAATACTGTTTGAAATGAACATGTGCCCAATTCAAATATTTTATATCCATTCACTGCATTAAATTATTATTATATATAGTCATATTATTGTAATTGTTCTGTTTCTAGTTTTAAATTCACATATTTAAAGATTGAAATTAAATATTTTAATTAGAATACTCATAGGTATTAGGGTGGAAAATCTATCTAATTGCCTAAAAGGTCAATACAATCTCAACCTCCCAATATACAGGGTGGAGGAGAACCGATTGAGCAGTTTTGAGGTAAAATAAAAGAGTAATGGAGGTACATAAAGAAGAAAGTTTATTTTCCTAGAGGTTAGCATAATATACCATTTAGAATACTAATGTTATGAAAACAATATCTGAAAGATGGGGGCTGTTAGCTGCAACACACTGTTGGAGTCATTCTTGGAGGAGGGAGTAACCGTGATAGTGAATTCCGATCACTGTGCTGCAATGTTGCGAAATTTCTTGCAGTCCATGATGGAAAACATTGTTGAAAATGAAGCATTGGGAGACGTGTGGTTCCAGCAGGATGGGGCTACAGCTCACACAGCCCGAATGTCACTCAATGTTTTGAAACGCATGTTTTGCGGATGTCTGGTTTCTCATAGGGGTGATTTGCAGTGGCCTGCAAGGTCACCTGATTTGAGCATTTGCAATTTCTTTCTTTGGGGACATCTAAAAGAAAGGGTGTTCAGAAGTCACCCTCACACCCTACCACAGCTAAGGGAACGGATTATTGCAGCAGAGGTTATGGCCATACCTCGCCATATGTGTGAACGCGCTGTAGAAAACTTCCGAGAACGACTCAAACAGTGTGATGCAGCTAACAAACGCCATTTTCCTGATATTGTTTTCAAAACATAAGTATTTTAAATGGTATGTTATGCTAATGTTGAGGAAAATAAACTTTTTTCTTTATGTATCTCCATTACTCCTTTATTTTGCCCCAAAACTGTTCAATCAGTTCTGCCCCACCCTGTATAAGCTAGCTAACACATTTAAATTGTATATTGTAATATATAACAAATAGTCAAATAGTTAAAGACTACTTATAGCCTTATAAGAATTAGCTAAGCTGCTAGCTACGTACAATGTACTGCACACTTGATGCCTCTGTACCAAAAACATTCAATTTATTTGAACCTAATACACACTAAAGGCAACAAGTTTATATACCAATTTGTCATTCATAGTACATTTATGCTAAACCATGAATAACAATACCTCAATATAAATTAAAGACTGCCACTCAATATATTTAAATATATGAAAAAATCAAATAAATCAAAAAAATAAAAAAAATCATGATTTTTTTTATAAAAAAATCAAGTGATTTAATCACATGATTTAATCATTTCGATTTAATCATTGCCAACCCTGCTGTTGATAGTCATTGTTTTAACATTTGGTGATTACTGTTTCTACAATGACTATTCTTGATAGGCGAGCGATATTGCTAGTGGCTGCCTCATCTGAGTTATCTAAATCTCAGTCTGTTTCGTTTGTTGCTGCTTCTGTGAAAGTTTCAATTGCAACTATTTGATCTTCGTGCTATTCTTCTCTCGAATCTCAATTATCTGCCATAAATACAATTAAAAAATCTGCCATAAATACAATTAAAAAAAAGTGACTCGGGATGAAAAATCGTATAGTGTAACGTACCTACTTCCTAATATTTCAACTTTTGGGTTATATACTCCTAACAGCTCTAAAGATAACAGTTCAGTAATAAATAACAGAAAAACTGTGGCTCTAAGATCTAAATAAATAATTTCTAAATCCAAACAAATTTTTGAAAGACAGTGCGTAACTATATCACAAAGTAATCAACTGGGAAAATGAGATGACCGGAATGCTTACACTACTGCCGAGCGGTTCCATTTGGAACCAGGCAAAATATTTCATGATCTACATGACATTAGAAACATTATATCACGTAATACCATATGCAGAATTAAAAGTACTCTCTTTATCGATAAAATTCTGCATCTAACTTATAAGTAATAAATTTTTAGAACAAACTACTTAGGTACCATTCTCTGCAATGATGTCAAGCCCTTCTGTCTGACACCTGATACTTACAATCTTTTAATGTTAACTGAGCAGGAATTAGTCGGCGCAGCAGAACCAAACGTTGTCAGAACACGTCCAAGATGTGTATCAAACCTACGCATCCACTAGTATATTGATTTGACCATGCAATTTTATTATGAATCCGTTTTTTTCCGCTGGTTCCAAATGGAACCGCTCGGCATTAATGGGTTAATTGGACATGTGGCAGCAAGCCTTGTCATGCATGAAAATTTATGTTCCATGAATTTTATAGGGCAGCAGCAAATGATCTTTTAAACACTCAATTTAGCAATTGCCATTCATTGTACGTTTTTTGGGAGGAAATACAGACCCCCTATACACATTAGGCCACTGCAATAGTCCCAAACCATTACAGATTCAGTATGCTTCACAATTTCTGATATTTACTTTTGGGCAAAAGGGTGAGAGTCACTAGGTCTACTGACCCTTTCTCTTTGGTTGGGAAACATCTGAAACATGCTGTCGTTGCACCACATCACTTTTAACCATTGCTCAGGTGTCCAATGACAATAATGATGGGCAAAATCCATTCTTTGCTTCACCATATGGGCATTGAGAAAGGGTTTTTGTGCCGCAACCCGGCAAGGTAGGCCTAGGTCTTTCTGCAGGCGATGCTGCACCGTATGGACAGATACCTGCTGAAGCAACATCAGTAAATTTTTTTTACACTGCAAGGACCCTCAAGATGGACCTATGGCTCCTCCCTGTACTTTCACAAATGTTTAAAACAATCACTTTTTCTTCATGTAATATCAATACTCCCTTTTCCACAAGTGAGATGTCTTTAGGGGATATTATAATTAATTGCAATTTCACAGGGACGTTTATTAAAAAAATGTGTTTTCACTGAAAAAATCGGTACTAGTGCGTATCAAAACGTGCGCCTGCTACAAACACAAATTGCAACTGGCATATCGACAAGTGACTGGCATCACTCATCAGGGTCTTGGTAGTTGCCAGAAGCCTCTTTAAGTAGATTGCAATATTTACAGCATCTGAAATGCAAATTAAATTGACCGCACCAAAACAGTGAAAATGGATGGAAGGGTGCCAGTTTTTATTGTACTATCTGTACTATGTACCTGAGATAAAGGTGAGCTTACTGAGCTAGCCTACTAGTTCTATCATTTTTGTGCACACTCGATCTAACATTTTGTAAGATGATTAAATGATATTTTCTGGTGACAAAATTTCTTCAATTTCAGGTATCATTTATTGATTAAAATCTTGGATTTGGACCTCCAGATTTTGAGAAGGCAATCCAAACATTATAATATGGTGCATTCTCAAGATAAGGTAAGATCATTTATTGTGGAGCTTCCTAATTTGTATGTAATCATAAAATTAATTTTTGTGTATCAACCTTACCATGTAAGCTTCATAACATTTATACCGTACCTACTTGGTCATCTTCGTGAAAGTTATCTTTTAATGAATGTATATCAAAGTCTCACCTCATGGTAATCATGCATGGGTGTCGCTGCTGTTAAGTTGCCTCAAAGTAAAGGAAGTGATTAATTTATTCATCAGTTTAAATATTACATAATCTGTGAAGATGTGATGTGTGTGTGATGTTATTTAACATTTTATATGAATGATTATGATTTTCATTGATTTAATGATATGATTATTTATAGATGATTTATGAGTATTTAACTTTTTATATGAAAATATTAAATTACATATGCAATTTCTTTGAATTATCAGGGTCAAGAATTTTGGAGATATGATAGTGCAAGTATTTGTAGTTTGTCAGTGTTTTTCAGTATCAATGAGTTGTTATGGTAATTTTGTTAGCTATAAATCCAGTTCCATTGATGTTTTATGATCTTCAAAGCTATCATGCCTGAGGTAGGGTGCACTGTTGAGGTTCCTGAGGAACCAATCTGCAGATCTTGGGTTCAAGGCTGTAAATGCCAGTCATGAATTCAACTGTATCTCCTGTACAGTTGACTAATATATGCAAGCATCATTGGCTAAAATGTCTTTGATTCGTTTTGCTTTTGGTAGCTTTTTTGACAGCTTCAAATATCATGTACCTACTTCATTTACAATATAATTGCAAAACTAAAACATAATTTTCTTGTCTTAGGTTGAGCGTGTACTTCCATACTGGCTATCCAATCCTCGGCCGCTTGGACAGGATTTACAAAATGACAGCTGTTCAGTGATGGACATGCCCTGGCTTGACCAAGCCCTGGTTGGCAGACTCAAGCAGAAAGGCATACATCGTTTCTTCCCTGTGCAAAAAGCCATTATTCCTGAAATTTGGGCACAAGAGGCTGAAAATGAATCTTGGTTTGTGCATATATCAATTTTTTTTAGAGAGAAATTATGAAGCAGTTAGTTATTAAATGGTTAGAAATGTAGCTTAAATTTTGCAACATATAAGTATGTATTAAGTTGTATAGTACCATCAACTGGGGTGACTTTGGCCACCAGGGGTAACTTCGGCCACCACTACAACAGAAACAAATGGCAGCAAAACAAAATAATAAATGTTGGCCAAAGTCGCCCCAGTCACTTTGGTCAACGTTTATTATTTTGTTTTGCTGCCACTTGTTTCTCATGTAGTGGTGGCTGAAGTCACCTCCAGTGGCCGAAGTCACCTCCAGTGGCCGAAGTCACCATAGTTTACAGTACCTAAAATATTTGGTCAGGAGATAGCTATAGTAGCTTTTTTGAAGGGGTTTATCTCTGTGTGCATATGATTGTTTACTCATTTTGTCAGGTCATTTTGTTTACTCATGATGACAAATGTGTGTGTAGTATTGAATGCCATAGCATTGTTGATTTTTAACTTGAAAGATACGGTATTTCATGTATATTCTGTTGAAAAAATACTGGATTATTATTATGAGTAATTAAAAAAATACTTTGGATTCCTCAATAAATTTGGTCAAATAAAGTTGTGATTTATTTTTCTGTTTAATCAAATGTATACACTTTCTTTAGTTTTTTCTTAATAATTTTTTTTGTTATTATGTTTAATTTTTAATGGTATCTTAGAAGCCTTTATGAGACTGTATGGATCAAAGAACAATTTGATTAAATTTATTTTGTTATTCACTTATCTATTGAATGAAAAATTTGTGTTGGAACAATGGGCTCAATTTTTCCTGTTTGCCTGACACTATATTTTCAGGGTGTGTCCAAACGATCTGTGTGTGTCTGCCATGACTGGCAGTGGCAAGACTCTGGCTTATGTTCTGCCCATCCTTCACTGTTTGAAGCCTCTCGCCAAGCTCCCCAAGAAGATAAGAGCTCTTGTTGTGCTACCTACTGGGCCCCTTGCTCTACAGGTAGAGAATAATTGAACCACTAACTGCCTATGAAAATCTATAATACGTAGTTATTAATAGTACTCTTTGCAACTGATGTAAAGATTAATTCAACTCATCAGGGTTAGATGATCTGACCTCATTTGCTAATCCTGTGTATTTATTGTGGAGTTTATGACCTTGGAGTTTATGCAATGAATGGACAAGGAGGCGTGGTTAGAGATTTTTGAGGTTTTGGGAGAGTAATTCGTGATTTTCTGTAAAAAATTTGCAAGAAATTTCTCTAGAACTGACCAATATTACTGGCATTGAGTTTGGTCTTAACTTGCATGAAGTGAAGTCTGAAGACAACAAGTGGCCTTAAGAGTAGCGGCATCCAGAAAACTCTGTTTAAACTACTTAGTTGAACAAAGCGTACATAATTATGAATAAGAAGTTTGTTATCCTCTTTAAGAGTATTTTGTAAATTTACTAAATATTTTAACCTGTAACTAAGAACTGTAGTATTAAATTTTAGTAAATGTTACATAACACAACATGGATTTTTATAATGAATTGATTGTTCTTTCAGTCAGTGAAGGTATTCAGGGACTACAGTGATTGTATGGGCCTGAAAGTTGGCACTGCAATTGGGCTTGAGTCGCTACGTCAAGAGCAAAGTGAGCTGGTCCGCAGACTGGAGCCCTGGGAACAGAATATGGTCAAGAGTGGACACTATGGGGTACTTGGCCCTCCTAAGCCTGGCTCAGACCCAGTCACGCACTGTGTTCTGGTGGATATAATTGTGGCTACACCTGATCGGCTGAAAGATCATGTTGCTCATACCCCGTCTTTTGATCTCTCTCATCTAAGGTGACCTTCTAGGATTTAATTACCTATGTGTACTTCTACCAATTTATTTGTCTAATAATTTTTTCAACTCTCATTAATTTAATTTTTCTGTTAGGTATATTTTACACCATACACTGAATTTTGCAACTTCTGCTGTACATATTTGAATGCAAATGACATCTTCATTAAAATCAGCATTGATAGATCCTTTATAAGTAATTCACAGCTCATTGATACCGGCACAACGTCTGCAAAACTTCATAATGATAATTAATAATGATAATTGATCTATTTTAATGATAATTTTTCTATTTTTCAGATTCGTTGTTTTTGATGAAGCTGATCGATTGATGAGTGGCGATGGAGGCCACTGGCTCAACAGCATCGTGAACACTATTGAAACTCAACAACAACCAAACCAGAAGCGCTTCTCTACGATCTTCTCTCCTCCCGAGCCTAAAGCCATGAAGCTTCTCTTTTCTGCAACGCTCTCTTGCAACGCCGAGACCTTGCAGGTCATCAGGCTGCACAATCCTGTGCTGTACTCTACGGATCTTGCATATCCTAGTAAGTTTTCTTTTAACACGTTGACTACGAAGTGGTACATATGCGTACCACGAAATGTATTTCTCCAGGACGTAGTGATACATAATTAAGGTTGCCTAAAATCGGCCAAATCCGAGAACGAAAAAGGCCAAAAAAAGGCCGATATACTAGTTTATTTGTAGCTTCTGCTATACAAATTCCATTTATTTTCTTTTTGCAGTATTTAAAATTTACTTAGGAAGTACCCCTATCATAAATTTTAGCTGGCCAACGCAATTGAGAAAAACTAAATCACGGAATTTGTCCGGAAAAAATGACCGTCTGGCAAAACTGTTTAAAAACGGTACTAAAATTGAAATAATAGTACAAGATGAAGCAATCGTAGTCAACGTGTTGAAGGAATTAATCTCGCTCGATTTAGTATGTACACAATTCATTTTACCTACTCTAAAGATCTGTGTGCACCGTATTCTGCTGGTTAGCCAACAATAATGTTTTTTAGCTCTGCTAAAATGTGTAATTGCTCACTCAATGTAAACTTGTTTGTATACCATTTTACGTACGTATATATGCTGTTCACTCTTACTGACATACTTCTGTGCTCAGGATGAATTGCGAATTCGGATCTTATGTTTAATTTCTTATTTATGCTTATTTCGGTGCTTTATTACTTAGCTCAAATTCCATGTCAACTAAATGTGCAAAATTTCAGACCGGCATCGGGGAAAGCAAGCAAACGGAAATTATTCAGCTCGTGCAAAATCTACAGCAGCAGCAACTACTACACACTCAGTGCCGAGCTCCCTCACTGAACAGTACATTGTCTGTGAGCTGGACCTACGTCCCTTACTGCTACATCACCTCATCCTCACGCATCATTGGAAACGTGTACTCGTTTTCACAAACAGAAAGGAAACTTCTCATAAATTGGCTTTAACTTTGCAAAACTTGTCTGCTGACGGCTACAGAGTTGCGGAGTTCTCATCTAAAATTGGCAAACTTCAGGCAAATATTATTCGAAAGTTCCACAAAGGCGACATTCAAGTGTGAGTTTTATAGTGTTCATTTATCTCCAGCTATTTCTATCAATGCCAAAACGAGTAGGAATTTCTTCTCTTACTGCACTTTAAGAAACTTTGACTCATTGCTCTTCAATGATTTATGTTCATCAATCTAGCTGAGAGCGTTGAAAATTTCCAACCTCATGAACACTTATTGTAATGATAATCTATCGAGTAAATAATATTGTAATCTATCGTGCGAGTAAATGTGTAATATTGCAATCTATCTAGCGTGCGAGTAAATTTTCGACGTCAGTTACCAATTTTTTCGTTGCTTGCAGGTTGGTATCGACTGACAGCCTGTCTCGAGGCATGGACTTCTCTGAAGTGAGCGTAGTGGTGAACTATGACCGCACCGAGAAGTACACCACCTACCTTCACCGGATCGGCAGAACTGCTCGTGCTGGCAAACCCGGTTTAGCTTTATCACTTATCAGGCTTGTCCAGGTGTGTTAGCATCCTCACGAAATCTTTCTTTTATTATTACACTTGTTTTCTTAAACATCTACGTATTAGACTTAAATGAAGTTTACTGACTTTAAAATCGTCAGACCTTTCGTTGTGACGTTGTTTAAAACAATAAACGTTGTTTATGTCTGAACAATGAATTTAGAACTTTGTGTAGGTCTGACAATGACTGCATAGCATCTAGTTATTGATTCAATCAGATGACGAAAGCAGTTTATTTCTCTATTTATTTTAAAACAACGCTTATAGGAATTAATTATTGCTTATACCATCCTCAGAATAGTTTCCTTACTTCCATATGAACTGTGCATGATATAAAATTATATATTTTAATCTCCAACATAGATTAAAAATCAACTGGTATAGATATTATGCTCCATCGTGATCAACTCGGCCTTTTATACTTCTAGGTTCATGAATTTAAGAAGATGGTAAAACAGCACTCAACCCACAAAGTCACTGAATTAACTGTCGACACCAAAGAACTTCACCCGTACGAAGAACTCTACAAAGAAGCTCTGAGACTTCTCAAACAAAACGTTATTCAAGAGAAACGCACCAGCGCCAAACGTCTCAAAAAACATGTTGTTGGCTTGAAAAGTAAATCTTAACATGAGTCTATGTATTCATAGTTTTATTTTTCCCTCTTTGATCGATTTGTACGAATAGACGTACTCCTACAACTTGATCATTATGATCATATCGGCTAATATTGTCTATCTTTGCGTCAAACATAAGTTTGCTTCCATCAGCTATGATGTATTTTGGGTAATGGACGTAACATGCAGTCTTTATCTCTGTTTATTACGCATGGTTGCATTTTGTTCTGGTTAGAAGCTAATATCACAATATATTTCATTCAAATTTGCGGAGAGATGCTATTTGGTTTCTTGATTCCCACTCGTGCATCTGGCGCATGAAGCATTTTTCTCATGTTTTTTTTTTAATATTCCGATTTACAAAAGTGTCGACGTTTTCTTTGGCCCTTTATTCTTGCGACGATTACCAAGATTTTTTTTTCACTATGTAAATTACGATAATTGGTAATAATCCTTGTCCTTTGTCTATAAGTACAGCTATTTGAGCATTATTCCAACTTGATATCTGTGCTATGATGGTACGTTGCGTCGGGTGTCACTTTGCAGTGTGGAAAAAGGTTTAAAATAGCATAAGAAATACACTCATTTATACTATTCATTGCAATTCATGGTATGAATTGAGCCTAATTGTTTCAGAGTTGTGTTAATATTGCTATAATTAATTTAATGTATTTTACCATGAGCGCAGTTGTAAGACAAATCTATGAGCATGAAATGACGTTCGAAAAACTAGAAAATTTTCTTCGGTAGATTTCAAATATTTTTCCTCCGGTTGCATTAGTCTTGACTCTTGACATTCCGAACAAATTATTTTGTGCAAATCTCATTTTTTGGCGGCGGCGCTCGTCATATTTAGTGTCGTCACTTTGACCGAAGCATTGCATTCCGTATTTTCTTTGATTGGACGGAAACCGACGCTACTCCACAGATCTGCAGCTGTCAAAATTACCAAGCATATGTTTGGTAATGATTGTCGATATTCGGAGTGAATTGATAACACCTGCGCTCAGCGCTGAGCACGTAGTAACTTACCGGTCAGATAAGTCTATTCGAATTTCGACTAGAGGACCCGTTGAACATCATTCGTCGCATATTTAAATTTTCACTCTCTTTTATTCACGAGTACTACTATAATGGCATATACAGAGAGCATTAAAAAGAAGAGTCGAAAGAGCTTGTGTACTGCTTACTTCTTTTGGATTATTGGAGGTTGGGCTAGCTTGCACCTATTGTACCTTCGTCGTTATGATCATGTAAGTAACTGTTAATATATTTATTCCTCAAGCTATGAATTTTTTACAAAAATAGGTATGTACTCAGTAGTCAGTACTATTATTATTATATATTAATCTTCTAGCTATCAACATTTTCTAGCTTGAAACTTGAATTTCCCTGCTTAGCCTAAGTACTGGCCAGTTTGGCCTTATCCTAATAGCTAACCTCAAATTCAATTCTCAAATGTCAATTGTCAATGAATGTAAATGACCCTTTTGAACTAGGAGCTCTCTTTTAGCAAATAGGTACTGCATTTACTAACTTGCTGATATTCATTTGTAAAAACTACAGAACACTGTTATACTCAGAATCAGATGGTTGCACAACTTGCACCTATAATTTATTTAATAGTGTTAAAGCTGAAACTTTTTTGGACTCTTCCTAAAGTTCATTTTTGAGTCCTCTAAGTAGACCAGTTAAGTATCATGGCCCATTCATGGATACCAGCATAATTCATAGTGGCAAAGAAGAGAATTATTTGTTGTCATTCATTGAGTTCCTTCAGGTCCAGGAGTTCTATAAATAGACTAGGGTAAATGCGGTACCGTAAAATGGGGTAACTTAGACCGGCAAGGTAACTTAGACCACTTTTCGTTTTTTTAACAAAAACCCCCACAACTCCAAAACTATTTGACATAGAAGAATTTTGTCAATAGGCATTAAAGGCCTAATACTAAGGCTACATAACACAATAGAAAAATTTGAAAAGTTTGCGTATCTAATAGGTTAAAAAATTAAAAATGTGATTCACGAAAAAAAGCTATTATTTAAAGCCTGTCAGAGTACCCCCTCCAATTTTTTTTCATTTTTTGGTTAAATAACTCCAGGTTTTGATGCATTGTAGTAGAACTCTTCTAGTTACATATGCAAACGACAAATTTTAGGAAAGTGTCATAGTTTGCAAATGGGGGGTGCCACCCCCCAAATGGGGTAACTTAGACCACCTAATGTCAGCCCTAGTTCGCTGTGTGAGCTGTATTGGGATACAAAACGGCTTTGAATTTGAACACTAACGAATATTGAACACTACTTAATTACGTTTTAATTAACAACTATTAGGCTTTTAATTAAGCAAATTTCAATTTTTGTACAAAGCTTGGAATGATCTGTGTGTGTCCAATTCAAGTTGTGTCGGAATTAGTTTTCATGTGTCTGAATCCATTTCTCAACTTAATCATCTATTAATTTATTTACGACTTGAAATCAGCAAATACAAGTATACTTAAAGGATTCCTAATATATTCACAGACGTATTTAAAAGTCTCAAACCATAATATTCTTCCTATAAAAACAGTTATTCACTATTTGGTAGAGCAAGGTCAACTGTCAAATTTGACACTTTTTTCGATGATCTCACTGGGTAGTGTGCATTGTCTCTCTTTGGATCTCAATATTTTCCCGCTAGATGGCCAAGACATAGTGTTTTGGCATTAGTTTGATGCACAAATGTATGACGTCACCATTTCAACCATCAACGAACGCATGGAGCTAAAACAAAGCTTAATATAAAGGAAAAACTAGAGAGGTGACGGAATTACCCACGATGTCGGAATATACCGCGTTTACCCTAAGTACCAAGTATCATGGATACTAACATTATCATACTTCAATGATGAACTAGATCATGGAATTAACCTTGAACTGGTTTTTGAAAAATTTGCTTTTTTGAAATACTTTTGCTGCTATGCTAGTATTATCACACATAAAAATATTAGTTAAAATCTTTGCCTTGCAACCATAGTAGGTGAGAAAATTAAAATAGAAAAAAAATTGTATTCTACAACCCTGATTTATCTGAACTAGAAAATTGGGCAGATGTTGCTTGTAAATCGGACAAAAAGACCCATAAATCAGGCCAATTTCAAATATTTATTCAGTCATTTCACAATTGTTTTCAGTGAAAAGGGAGAAAAATCTGCCTATTTTACCTATTTGGGGTATCTGGCAAAAGTATCCAAAAATTGCATGTAAAAACCATTGTTCCTTGGGTGATTTAAAAAAATTGCAGGTGAAAATGGACTGTTTATCTTTTTTTACTGTAGAAATTGGGTAAAAGCCATACGAGTGAGTGAAATTAACCAGATTGGCAGGCATTTTTGCTAAATCAAGGATTTCTACCTAATTTTCCACTTTCTATTTTCACCCACTTTTTTTATTTCAACACATTGACTCCAATTGCTCATATGCCAAACTTCCCCAGCAGACGGTGACAAATTTAATTTCTCAAGTTAGTTTGACGCTTGCTGTTGCATTGAAAGGAGGTGCATAGCTCTATATGCATTAGACCGGACATATTGGTGAGAGAAAACAGATGGGACATATGTGTACCACAACGTACTACATCCAAAAAAACCTTGCGACAATCAAAGTGGGACACTATTGTACCACGGCTCTTCGGTATAGTCTCATGAAAAACATGAAAATGTCTAGAAGTGGGTGCAAAGCATCAAATGATAAAGGAAATATGACTGGTATTCCATATTTTTATTAATTTTAATCATTTCCGCTCACTTTATGTGATAAACTGAAATTTGAGGCTGTGACAGAATGCTGTATTTGTTTCACTTCTGTGATATTAAAAAATAGGTATGTGCATTTGAGATTTGTTATATTTTTTCATTGACCCTATTCTTTCTATTACTGGTAAAAAATATAATGTGACTCTTAACTTCTTTACTTTTATGTTAAAATCTATTTTGAAATAAGGTGCTGAAATAATTGAAATGGTACACATATGTATCACTCCGTACTGGAGCAATATACCTCGTGGTACAGATATGTAGTACCACTTCGGAGTCAACGTGCCAAACCACCCATGAAGCAATCATTCTCACATGCTATATTATGAAACTTCTGCCCAATCTTCAAAATTGGTTGGTTATTGAATTAGATTACCACCAATTATCAAATAACTACAGTCCTGTTTCAATCTTGCTAGAAAGTTGTGGTTCAATGTTGTGTATAATTCAGTATAAATATGATGGTTTCTGTTGAAGGCCAGCAATATAAGTGTTGAGTTGTTGACTGTTGTGGTGACTCAAATGCATTGATGTTTGATATATGCAGAAATTTTGATACATCAAATTGATAATAAAATTTATAACACTTAGATTAAAAAATATATGTAATTATATAGTATAATATTTATAGATTTTATAAATTAAATCTAAAAATGGCTTAAGTTATTTATCTCTGTCAAAGTTGCACCAGAAAGTGGCTCATGTCTGGCCCCAGGATTAGGCTATTCCAATGGATCATTGTCATCCTGTATGTATGTTTTCCTATTTGCAATGATATATGTTTAAAAATTCATTTTTAAAAACAACACTTCTAAAGAATCCAGTGTCTCCAATGTTACATAAGAAATGATAATGATTTATAAAGTAATTGTGGTTTAATCAGCAAATTTTGAGTTTGACATTGATAGGCCAAGAGTTGAAGTGATTGTGCACTATTTCACCTGTGCACATAGCCCTTATTTCCTTGCAATCTGTCCAATGAACCTGAAAAGAAAATTTCCATCATTCCATATGCTGGTTTTGGTTCTAAGCATATTAAATAACATATTTTGGTTTTGATTGTCTTTTGCATTTATTTAGATTTATTATAATTATTGTATTTATTGACATATTTAATTTTTTTCACAGGCTTTTGTGTACTGGTGGTCCCTTGGAGGCTATCTTGGATGTGGTATCTTCTATGACTTCTTCAGGATTCCTTCTTATGTCCAGGAATGCAATAATGATCCTGCTTATGTCAAGAATTTCAAAGAAAGAGTAAAGAAAAAATCAAAAGTTAGTACTGGGATGTTCAATATTTCTTTAAAAATTCTTGCTGCATCAACTGTTTTGCCCAATATGGACACTAAGATATTCTATTGATGATATTTACTGCATAAAATAAATTTACTGACAAATGTAGAATGATCAAAAGAGGACATGAAGGTTATATCATCAATTGAATATTTTTCCAAAAGATTTCTTTCGTTTTGTTTTTTGATTTTTTAACAGTTATTTTTGTTTCACAGCCACCAGTAAGAATTGTGCGCATGGTTGGCCAGGTGATGGTGGGCAACATGTGGTCTCTCTTGGTGTGCTCGGCCCTGCCCCAGGAGCTGCTCTCTGAAGGGATACTGCAGTTCATGTCTGCAATCATCGGTCCTTTTGCAGCAGCCATGGGTAATGCAGACATTTTTTGAATGCCTTGCCAATAATTCAATACCTTACCCATTCAATTAGATAAATTCAAAACCTTACCCAGCACCATCAAAATTAAATGTAAACACATGATCAAGGTTGTGAACCCATGTTCTCCAGGATTTTACAATTTGCAATTGTTGTCAGTTCACTATTTTCTATGAAATTTATTTCTCCTTTTCTAGCTGTGTGGGTAATTGGCAACATCGGTAATGAGCAGGCTGGTTCCCCTAAATGGGCTTTGATTGGATCCTATATAATGACACCATTGGTCTGGTATAATGGCACTCAAGTGCTAAATTCCTGCTCTGTACCATCCATGCTGCTCTTCAATGCCAAGGGCAGACGATGGCGCCTCTCTCCACCTCCTGCAAAGCCTGCATGCAGGTTCGACTTTGTAGCAAAGAAGGGATTCTTTGTTCATCCATTTTTTATTGCAGTTTATATACCTAAGATTACTTTTGCTTTTGATCAAAGGAAGTTTTGTTTTTTTTATTGTTTTTCGTAAAACCTTTGCTTATTTTAGTGGATGTATCTAGAATGAATTTAGCTTTTTTTCATAAAATTATTAGTGCCTATACTAGATTTTCAGAGTAAGAGAAGTTACAGACATAAAAAAATCTACAAGTTGAACTAATAACAATTATTACCCATTCACAGACAATTCTTATATCTCTCTATGGCATCATTGCTTTTTGCTGGCTGCTTCAGTTCGTTTCTTTACTTCAATGCCAATATTCATACTGAAGGAGAGAAAGTTAAATTGAGAGACGCTGTTCGCCACTTTGTCAAGTGAGTTTAAATGAGTGGTCACTACGCACTACAAACTATGAGTCTAACAATAATTTAATTGACTGGATGTGAATTTTTCACTCTATATATTACGTATTAAGTCTGTCATAATTTGAAGAGGTATCTGGTATTAATTTTAGTGCAGTCTAATAGCATTACGGATTATTCTATTTGAATACAAGAGACTATTCCAGATTATGATTGTCATTCGCCAACTCACCAGGATATTTATTTACCTAGCAACGTAACAAAAATTCAGCCTATGCAATTAGTTTGTCAGTCAGTAAATTAGCTAATTATTTTCTTTGTTTTAGTTCACCAATGTTTCAAGAGTTTAAGAAGAACTTCTATAAAGTCTACAATGACACCAGAAATGAGGGCTTTTCAAAGGCGTGGGAGAACTTCATTGAACTCATGGATCCGTTCGGCAGTCAGCATGCACTAAAGGTACTGTTCTAGTTCTTGCAATTGGGTGAAGAACAAAATTAGTAGTTGTCAATCAAATTTTCCAGAAACTTGTCCTGGTCCCAATTGTTCTTATCTTTTGTTCATAGTTTTTATTTAATTATTTTCATTAAGATACCGGTACTCATAATTATTGCTTTAAATTTTTATCAATTAGGTAAATAGAATGGTAAGAATTTAAGTACCGTAGTTATAGAAATGTTTGCTTGATATTTGTTAGATTAACCTCTAATAATCATGACCCACGATTGTCTTCACTATTTTTTCTTGATTCTTTTCATTCCTGATGTTCAAGTGTTGAGGAACGTGACAAATTCTATTATTTTGTTTCAATTTTTGTAACTTTTATCTATGAAAATTTCAGGTTTTGGATCTTCCCCAAAATGCTACTCAAGCTGAAATAAAGGAGAGAGTTCGCACGCTCTCGAAAAAATGGCATCCTGATAAGTGAGTATTAAAATAAATAATGTTATTTGTTGTAGAATTAAAATTTGTGTTTTTGGGCAATTTCTTTTTAAAACATTTTCATATCACAACTGTTATTTTTGAAGGTTGCAGCAGAAACAGTTCAGTCCCTACATTTTTACGCGATATATAGGTATTTAAATAAACTTTATTCATCCACAATTGAAACAAGTATTCTGATGGCTGGTTTGCAATCGTGTACCAGTTCACAAATTTTTCACTAAAATTTGAATTATATTTCATTAATTAGCAAATAGTAACGTGTGTTTAACCACAGGCACACTGACGAGGAAGCAAAGCTGTTGGCGCAAGAGAAGTTTTTGGAAATTCAGCAAGCAGGCGACGCGTTGCTGGAGGAGAAGCGGCGACGGGCGAGACGGAATAAGAAGAGCACTGAGCTTTGATATGCTCGCTTGATTGGCCAACTCTCTCTTTGATGTGGTGTCAATACTCGTGTTGTAGTAACATGGCATTCATTTAAACATGAATGAACTCTAGACTGATTTGTCTTCACTCAACACAGTCTAATCGATATGGAGCTTTTTTCGACTACCGTAAGCATTTTACAGCTAAATTTTTATTGGATTCTCTGCATACATTTTGTGCTCCCGTCATTGATTATAATGTACGTCTTAACCCTTTTATAGGCATGAATGAACTTCTCCATTGTATATCTTTGTCGATTAAAATGTTCTCGCGGTATGGTCTTTGCTTCGAAGGCATTCTTACCTTATTACTTAACTAGAAATGTAATTTTCAATTGTGAATGATCAAGATTTCAACCTTTTTCTATGTCAACGTCTGTTGCAAAACTGTAGCGCAACTGGAACAAAGTTTTATACTAGATGATTAATGTCCTTTGTTCAACACATGCCTTTGATTGTATATTTGATGTCCCAATTGGATTGGCTGCAATTCATTGCCTTTGTATCGACATCTCCGTCATTTACTTGTAAGGTAGCTGAAATTTTATGCCCTCACATTGTTAATGCTTCGGTTCCGTGGACTTGTTTAGCTTCTAGTTCCTTAGTTCAACGTTTGAGTGCAGCGTCAATTAGGGCTCTTCTTGTCTTGTGTGATTTATTGATGGCATTCCAGGAGTTACTCGCAATAAATTTATTTTCTAATGAATTTTCGCTCATAGATTAGCCCCTAAATAAATAATCCATTCGGCTCATAAATTTGTTAGTATGTTTAATGTTCTAACCCTAATTTAAGTTTCTATCAACTTTATAAAAAAAGGTTCGATATTCGCAAGTCTGACTTGTCTAAGAACTAAGAAACTCACTACGATCTGAAAGCTGCCAGTTGTGCATTATTGTTTACTCTAAACTCCTTATTCATTCTCGTTATATTGATTTACTTGATTTTCTTGCGCTATGTTAGGAGAAGAGTTATATTTTAAATGTTGTAGTTGGTAAGTAATTTTTACTTGCTTAATCTTTGACATTAAGGCATTCTTCTCATCGCATGCGAAACGAATTGTTCGCCAATGCAGTATTCAGTGATTTTTCTCTTAGTCTCTCCATTTCATTTGTCTTGGATGAGATTAGGCTAACTATTATTATGAATGATATTATTATTTTATTTTAAATTTCTACTGGTGTAGACTTGAAGTGGGATGTGAGCTTCCATCAGAGCTCCAATAACACTCCTTCGTCTTTTGCTTCTTCGGCATCATTGATGAACTTATAAGGTCTACAAACGAACGTGTCAACTCGCCTTTTTAATTTACAGACCATGAAACCGAATTATTCTTACCTCGACTGCACATCATTCCATTCGAATTTTCTTCGTTGTCGTTTTTATGCAAACCATTAAGTATTCAGATGACCTCTGTACATTATCATTATCAGTAAGCTAAGACTCATTATTAGTCTTAAATCTCATGTAGCTCACGGCGTGCCTCTACTCACTTGTAACTCGTGTGTTGTGCTCATACACTTTGTGCACAAATGCTTCTTCACCGAGGAAGTCTATTCATATTTTGTGGGGTTACTTCGATAAGCTTTGTACGGTTTACAACAATAAGACATAAGTACGAATCATGGGGGAGATGTCCCTTAGCGGTTCGTTCGTGTCAACGAACCGGTGTTGAATTTGATAAATTTCTTCTGAAGAACTGATGTATTTCTGTGAGGAATTATCCTTGAATATATTTTGTTTACCACTGTTGCATGCTACAAGTATCGCAATGTTAACATTTGTTATAAGACTAATTTGCGTGCGAAAAATATCGTGCAATCGTTAAATTTACCACCAAAATTATGTTTACATAATCTACATTTTTTTGCTAGTGTATGTTAGAGACAATTCTATTACAAGTATTACGAAAAGTTGTAAATTTTACTTTACATAAGGTCTACCAAGTTTACTTATGAGTAACTCTTGAAGTTATTGGCTGTCATCACCAAATAATAGCACAACGTCTGGAGAGTATCGTTTTCTTGAACATTATTGAAGTCTTCAGTTATAATAGTTCATTTGTTTAACGAGTGTTACATTCCTTTGTTTAAGGGATTTATTTACCGTCATGAATGACGCTCAAAATTTGGTCACTTACCTAAGCCTTTGCAAGCGACATGGGATTAAATATTTTGCTAAAGTTCAGAAAATGTGTATTGGGCATTTCATCTAGTTGTGTTTATTGCTTTCGTTCATTTTTATAACTTCTAATCAAGCACTGTCATTTTGAAATTACTTAGCGTGTATTTTGCCATAGCCTGTAAAATGTAAACAGTTTTATGAATCCATAGCTTACGTTATTCTGATGCCAGATTTCATAATTTTTTTATTGAAACGTTTCTTGTAATTGAATGTCTTTAAATCGAAAAAAATGCGCCGCTAGTCTACGGGCTCAAAGAGAGAAATGACGAGCCTTTCCTGTTTATTGAGTTTTGTACTTAGTGGTCAGACGATCGTTAAATTACAGCACAAGAAAAAGAAGTGACAAAAGTTAAAGACCCTGGTTTCAATAACCTGGTTGCTACATACAAAAGTATTGCAGATACATCTATAATTTTTTTGTTATCTAAATCATGAAGCAACTATGTCAGAACATCGCAAAAAAAGACATTACATTTTGAAGTTCATTTCAAATAAAGCTTAAACCTGCACTGACGCCGCAGTTAATATAGAATTTTTAGAGAATCCAAACCAAGAACAAAAGAAACGGAAATGACAATTACGCAACGCATCCCAGTCGTGCAAAGATACAGTATTACCTACAACAGATGTTTATCTCGTAAAAATAACTCATCTACATCAAGAGGCGGAAGATCATAAATATTCCTAAAGCGCAGAATCTGGCGAGAAAAAATCAGCATAAGAATCTCAAAGCAGATAGATTGGATAAGTGGACAGCAGCAGAAACGGTTCTTTGTCGCTAGGAGGGGGCGACACAGAGTATCCTGCCGCTAGAGAGGAACTCAGGGTGGCAGGTGTAAGGTATCCTGTCTACACTGCGACACTGGCCTGCAGTCAGATGGTGTGAGCTATAAGGAACTTGGAAACATTGTTTTATGGGGATATGAAATCAAACGGAGCTTCCCGCAAAAATCATAAGAGAATGAGAAAATTAAAACGAACAGCTTCATTTCCGACGAGAGACACCATGAGTGAACTTTTGTGCTACATCAACACTGATAATATATGATAATAACAATGCCTCAATATTACGGAACCTAACATGTAATTTACACGCAGCGCGATCAGCTAATCTGGATTGAATTTCTATTCTTGGGATAGTAAATAAGTAAAATAACCAATTGATGATACATGTACATTCGACATCTTGACTAACAATTATCTGCAACCGTTACTAGGGCTCTCTTGACACATTGAATGCTTACACGGGACGTCGGCCTAGTTAGCATTGAATATAGACTTCGCTCCGAAATTCTTTGAAATTTTTCGCATCGAGGATCAACTAATACTTACAAATCTACACATTCCTTGTCGTACTGGTTTCACTACTAAGTGCAGATGATGACAGGGTATCTATTTATCTTCACATAAATTGTTAACATTATACTTGGTGATGCTGACGGCAGGCAACACCGGAACTCAGAGGATTGCTATAAACTCCGACCAATGATTTGTGGATCTGATGCACACGACGAGGTCTTGGTCTTACATTGGGTTGAACATATAATAGCGTTCTCAATGGTAACACTTGGCACATTAACGTTAAACATCACAACAGGTCATCAGAGGTAACAAATCGCGCGCTCAAATATGACGGACATTCTTTACAACGACGTCATGCTAAACGTAGTCAATTATTCAAGCCCAATAGGTACATAACAAGAACAAGGAGCTAAATATACAATGCAAGATTATCACGCATGACAGGTACAATGTAGAACTCTTATGAATAACTAAACCTGAACAGTAGTTATTCAGCAGCAAATGTAACTCATATCCAATATGTAACTGGTGTGACCTAAGGTGTTACATTAAAATCAACGAGCCCGGTTTCAACTTCATTGATGCTACATTTTCCGGCTTATTTTGCGCACTAATACGTTTGTGAAGCTCGCCATCTATTGAAGCATTCAAAGTCATCTGTGCAGAGCTTCATCCATTGAGAATGGAAGGGGATCCATGCTTCACGAAAAACTGATGTACACTTAAAAAAACTTTTCGGTTACTCAATAGTTTCATCGTCATCATTTCTCTCATTGCATATCATGAGAGGTTTAAAAGCTTAGAAGAATCAACCAATGGATTACCGAGTCGGTAACGAACCAGACCAGCTTTAGCCAATTGTTGACAACAATAAGAGAGAGCAATAGAACTCATCGGTAATAAGTCCACCAAGAGACAGTACTTATAGCACGTATGTTTGTAAGCAATAAAACTAAATGCGCTTTCATGAGATTAGCCCATAATTGTTGTACTCTATTACAGGTTCAGGTGACCAGCATACGTAACGAGATCATCTCAGGTGGACTACACCACAAGTGTACAATAGAAACTCGTGCTTAAACATTTCTTCCTATTAAAAAGAAATTTGATAATAACTACAAAATGAAAATGTATGTTGAGCTTATACCGCCCCGTACTGCGCATGTATCGACTCAACTAATTAGATGCGAGGTTGGCAGCCATCAAGGCTTCTGATGAGAGGAAAACGCTAATTGATAAGCAGCTTGGAACTAATCTATGAAAACGAGGACGACATAAATATCAAACGCAATAACTAGACTTCATCTCATTATTGTGTGCAGAACAAAAAATTGCTCAAAGCAACCCTCCCTTTGAAGTCAACAACTATTCCCCGATCACTATAAAGTATAAACATTAATACAAATAATTATTCCTCTATGATACCTTCACAGATGATTCCGTGCAAATGAAATTTAGTTCAGATGAATTTTTCAGTTGATGCCAACCAGTCCATTTATTATCAAGCCATTAACAAGTTTACATTTATTATCAAGCTATTAATCGTTCGTGCGAAAGAAATCCACTAATTTAACGAAAAAAACAATTTCTTTTAAAAAACATGAGATCGCTTTTCTGGAGAATAAGTCAAAAGCATGAAATGTTATGAAAAAAATTTCGTCACGTAGTTTTGACTTTCAGAATAAGTTTCGTCCCATGAATTGGGAAGCAAAAATAGGCATAGGGAATAATTGGGGGGAATTTTTAAATTCATTCCCAGTCCTATTCTATATTCCGAGCTCACTCAAGTGTGGAGAAGGCCGAGCAGTTAGCACTTATAGTCTTAGCAACTTACTTCACTGCGCTTCATCGTCGATGGACAGTAACACGTCTAACGCTGCTATAATTTACGGTTCAATACAGCTGTCAACGGCTAAAACTTTTTTAAAACTATTGGAATAATGTTTATAATTCTTTTACGAGTGGATAACTCTCTATGAATTATTGTGTGACTCAATATCAATCCATAAATCTAGCCCAATAAGTTAGAAGAGTATGAAACACTTTAAACCGTACAAGAATAGCATGATACAACGTAGATAACGGAAATTCCATGTCTGATGTTGAGGCCTGGTTGTCCATTTACCCAAATGCAGCCATAAGTTCGAGGGCGGCAATGTTTCCATTCAATGTCCTTAAATGTGCATCCTGTTCACTAAACACTCGTTGAACACAATTGAACAGCTTGTTACACCTCACATCCCAGTCTCAAGGCCACGATCTCTGTTGCTTCAGAACTAACATCTGCAGCTCAGCTCAATAATCACGTACTTTAAATTTAAGAAAATCAATCATGTACTGTAAAATCTCATGAAACAGATTCCACTTCATTGAAACTAGAAATATGATAGAGATTATTCATCATAGTAGCATCAAATATCGAGACAAATTGCATCAGAGAGAATCCAAGTTAGTTTCCGATTTTGTTTTAGTGTGTACTGTATACTGTAGTGTAATGATTTGCTTAATGATTGACCGGCTTTCAGTGTGATGGTCGCCTACGAGTCCATGAGCTCTTGCTCCATCTTCAAGAGTCGCTCTTCCTCCCCGCTGTCGAGCGCCTCCATGTCGCTGCTGTTGTCGCTGCTGCTGCTGCCGTCATCGCTGTCGCGCCTCACGCCGCTCACCTTCTCGCCACGACGAAACTTCACACTGGGCAGTTCCTCCTCTTCATCGTCATCGTCGTTGTCCAAGTTCCTTGAATTTTCATCATCATTGTACGCTTGGTTTCTTTTTCTTCGCTTTCGTCTGTTTCTTCTCTGCTCAAGACGACTGCTGTCGCCGGTGTTGCTGTCTTGAGATGAACTAGCGTCTTCCAAGTCGTCGTTCTTCAACGAGCGCTTTGAACCACGATTTTTTTGAGAACCACTATCTCCTGGTGAACAAATGATTCTAATTAAATGAGCAGAAGAACCAAATTAAAACAACTTATAGTATCTAAAAGCAAGAATACATGGTAGATAACGCTAACATAAATTTCTTCAGACAAATTTTTAGTTTTAAATAAAACCATTCAATTTTTTTAATTGCATTAATAACGAAAAATTAATTTTTAATGTTTTTAATTCCAAAGATATATGCGTTCTGTGCTTACCATTCAGCTTGTTGAGTGAATCACGTATTGACATGAAATTGAAATCGAACATGGTAATTGATTTAGCTTCATTAATTAATTGACCACACTGGAACGCATTTATTGGTCGAATTTACCGAAAATAATTCGCAATAGATCGGGCGTAACAATTCACCTGAGGAAGCTGATCCGTCACTGGAGTTGTCTCCCTCGAGGAGTTCCTCCACCTGATGAAAAAAAGCCTCTTAGTTTGCCTTAAATATTATAACAATAAATTAAACGGCGTCCAAGCCAACGGAGCGCATATTTATTTCATACTTTACAATAAATTTAATGTAACCTAATATGAGCATTAATTATGATTGCCAACAATTATCTTAGAGACGGTCATTTATATTAGTTACGAGCGCGTGATAGAACAGATACAACATTGAAACTTGCAGCGAATATTGATATAAGAAATGGAAATAATGTGATCACGTACATTATTTCCTCGACAATGGCAGGAGGTATGGCAAACGTTGAAAATAAAAATGCAAGAGATAACGGGGAAGTTTGAACCAAATGAAAATATTCAATAAGACGAACTTCGAAAATAAAAATTCAAGAGATAACGGGGAAGTTTGAACCAAAATGAAAAAAAATTCAATAAGACGAACTTTGAAAATAAATAAAAATGCAAGAGATAACGGGGAAGTTTGAACCAAAATGAAAAAAATTCAATAAGACGAACTTTGAAAATAAAAATACAAGAGATAACGGGGAAGTTTGAACCAAATGAAAAGATTTCAATAAGTTGCCAGTTAAGTTTACCTCTTCCATCATGCGTTCCTTGGCCTTGTCTTCCATGTAGAACAAGTCGAGGCTGTTCTGACGCGAGGCGTTGGGAGGCACTGTCGTGGGTTAGAAACTTCATTGTGATTAAATGATTAAATATCAGGAAAAAATCACAATAATACTTTCTGAAGTTTACTACAGTATTATACAATAATGAATGTTAAATAGTACCATGACGTTTCCGATATTTCTTCCTATAAGAAATAAATTTACTGCAAAATCTTTACTTATCACCATTATATAAGTGTTTGGGGGATAATCAACGGTTAGAATTAAAGTAATTCCATCTACGCCAAGAGATAAAAAGGGATGCGATTTGATGATAGAAACGAAGAGTGAAGCAATGACGAGTTAAGTGAACCCAACTACATAATAATGAAGAGAACTGTGTTGCTGACAGAAGTATGGGGCGCAGCAATGAAGAGAACTGCGTTACTGACAGAAGTATGGGGCGCAGCAATGAAGAGAACTGCGTTGCTGACAGAAGTATGGGGCGCAGCAATGAAGAGAACTGCGTTACTGACAGAAGTATGGGGCGCAGCAATGAAGAGAACTGCGTTACTGACAGAAGTATGGGGCGCAGCAATGAAGAGAACTGCGTTACTGACAGAAGTATGGAGCGCAGCAATGATGCGGAGGGTTGCGGGTGACGGTAGACGAGGGAGTGAGAGGGAAGAGTCGTTCATCCACACGCTCCCAGCGCTCCATGCAGCACCACAGCCAGTCTGGAGTCACCACCTGAGCAAACAGCAATGTTAAAAACAAGCCAATAATTATTAAATTGGGGCGGGCGCTCAGTAATAGAACAAAACTAACTCATCACTTCAAATCAATACAACACAGTACGGTACGCTGTACCAGTACTAAAACAAACGCTACCCTTTACGTTAGGGACACAATATGAAACGAGGATTCAATATCACGTAAAAAAAAATTAAAGGAAAATACCACAGATAAATTAGCGATAACTCGACCTGGCCTCACCTTGATTGCTTTGCACCGCTGGGCCTGATGGACCTTCTGCGTGTGAGGATTAGCGGCCACCAAATGCGTCGTGTACGATGCTTGGCCTGTGATGAGTAATATTGTAGCGCGTCTGCAGCTATCACTAGTTACTGGTAACTAATAAATTAAAAATAATTTGAATGAAAAAGGTGGTAATTCGTCAGATTTATTTCCAAGGTAAATGTTACCTTGAAGGCAATATAATTGATTTCATTCCGCGAGTTAGCGTTATGAATGGAATTCACTCGAGAAGCTCAGAATGAATAGAACCTTGAAGCATGGAATTACATTATTAAATCATAAATTACGTGAATTGAAGAGGACAAACCGTTTTTAATCATACTAATAACGTATAATATTACAGGAATAACTTGTAAGAATATTTAGAAAATTCATACAGGGTTTAATTCCTTGACTAAAGAAATTGTAGAAAAGAAAAAGGTCGCATTTGTTGCAATTCTCTTTTCATAAATTAGTATCTTCAATACAATTCAACTATCATCATCTTCAATTACTGTCTTAATACGTAGTGTCTTTTCTGAAAAATTTTCCGTTGATACCTACAGTTCAGTATTTTCTAAAGTGATCTAAACTGTACATTGGACTTTGCAGATCCACATTCGCAATCGCATAATGTTTGCTACTGCAGACAAATTCAGCAATATGAAAACAAAATATTTACTTTTACAAAATGTCCAATTTTTTCCAAAAAACTCACAATACACATCCACCTAAAAAACTAATTCAAAAAATAAAAAATAAAATTCAGATCTATTTATATACCTCTTTCTATTGATATCCTATGAATTAGTAATGGTAAGATAAGGATGACTGATAAGAATGACCCACCTGGCTCGGGCGCACCGTCGCTGGCAGGCGGGAGGCGCAGGTCTTCGCTCACTTTGGCCCCCAAGCACATGGCGATCCCGTATGCCTGGCAATAAATGTAAAAATAAAAACATAACTCAACCCTAAGTAAAAACTTGAAAAATTCGAGTAAAATTTGATATGAAATAGAGAACACAGTTGACTATCAGATAAAGCAATTTATCACACAGAAGCAGAAGGCACCTTGCTACTTCTGAGGTCAGAGTTCTGCGGCACAACACTGGAGAAGACGATGTTGCAACCTTTCAGAACACTGCCGCGGATTTCCGGCACCAGCCACTTGAGGTCGGGCAAGAAGCCTCCGTCTTCGGCACCGTCAGCTTCATTATCTAAAGAGCCAGGAGCCTCGGAGGAGCTTGCCGGTCGATATCTAGCATAAAACTCGCTGTGAATCTTCTTAAGTATATCTTCCAGGTGTAAAAGGTAGTCGTCGTGGTCAGGTACATCTATGGTATCGCTATTAATGCTTGGAAAACTTTCCTCTAATTGTAAATTAACAGAGTCTTCAGTTTCAACACTAGGAGAATCGTTAGGGGAAGAATTAGAGCTTTCTTCAGTAGCCTTACTTGACTTCACATCATCTTTTTCAGTGGGTACATCGTCTCCTACATTCAATTTTGTGACTTCAGTGTCTAAGGAATTATTTTCAGTTTCATCAACATTCTCAGAAGACTTTAATTCTGCATTATTAACAGCTAATTTCTTATCTACATCATTATTTTCAACAGCAGGACGTGACACTTTGTCACTAAGACTCAATTCTCCTCCGTTCTCCGATGGTGGTAGAGCTTGCAGGTCAGTCGGCAGCTCGATCGAACTAGTTCCGACGTTCATTTTAGAATTACCAGTAGATTTCATGGGATTTTCGTCACTAGTGACTGAGTTTGCTTCGTCGTCGCTATAAGTGGTACTGGAGCTGCTACTGCCGCCGCCACCACCACCACCGCGTGAGCGAATAGAACCCTCGCTTGCTGTTTCATGTTCGGATTTTTCGTCAGTTTCCGCGCTAATCCCTTTCCGTCCTTTTACTTTCGAACCGTGCCGGCGTTCCGATTCTTTTTTATCTGGAATAAGAGACAATAATGAAGATTTCCCATACAATTAAGATGAATAACAACTACTACATAGTAAAGTTAAAACATGTTTAATTATAAATGCGACCCATTGGTGTAGTAGGTATGTAAGCTGGTGGGCATGTATGTAACTTGTTGACATGGAAGACGTCAGATAGATATAATTGTGCCTTAAAAATAACCCGTGGCGAGATAACGAATATGCGGGGGAAAATTTAAAATAACTTGGTAGGATGGAGACCATATCAGAGTGATAGAGCTAAGTCGGAAAACCTAGCAACGTTAGTAAGAAAACAACGTTAATGAAATAGCAGCAACGTTAGTGAGATAGCAGCTACGTTAGTGAGATAGCAGCTAGGTTAGTGAGAAAGCAGCTACGTTAGTGAGATAGCAGCTCCGTTAGTGAGATAACAGCTATGTTAGTGAGGTAGCAGCTACGTTAGTGAGATAGCAGCTACGTTAGTGAGATAGCAGCTACGTTAGTGAGATAGCAGCTAAGTTAGTGAGATAGCAGCTACGTTAGTGAGATAGCAGCTACGTTAGTGAGACAGCAGCTAAGTTATCGCTGAACTAGCTACAAACAAGGTAGGATAAAATCATAAAAGACTTACTGAGTGCAGAGAAGTCAAAGCCCTTGTGCTGCTGGTCGTTCTCCTTCTTCTGCAGGCCTGGCGGGGCATTAATGTCGCCGGTGTGCTGGAAGAAGTGGTAGGGGAGGACCTGCACCACGTTTGGGGCAAAATGCCACACATCAGACCTGTCGTCCATGATGCACACGAGCTCGTCCCCGCACGGGAACAGCGACCTGTACACATACATCTTTTATTGAATAATATCAAAGGCAATTAACACTCTAATAATTTTCATAACTTTGAATTAATGAACTCACTCCTTGACCTCTTACAACTTGATTGTAATGCAGTTAGCTTCAACAGTTCCTTCAGAAAAATACTGCAGAAATTCTAATTTTTCAAAAAGGGCAAAACTAATTCAAATTTTACCTTTTTATTCAAATTTATCAACATCGTCAATTCAATAAATGCCTTTAACATATTCTGACAGCATAATTAAACATTAGATAACGCACTTGAGATTAGCCTTCTTAGACATTGGGTCAAGACACTCGTTGCGACTTAGGATTCTTTGCTGGAAGAGTTTGCCATCAGGGTCGAGGAAATGCGCAATGACATGCGCATACTCGCGCACTCCGAAGGTGCAGATGTGCAGCTCGTAGAGCTCCGACATGCGCGCCAGGAACTTGCGAGTGTACGGCCGCAGGCGGCAGTGGTACACGGGGCTGTGCGGGTGCAGGCGAAAATGGTGCACGTCCTGACACAGAAATATGCCATAGATTATGGGAGATGAAGTACATTGTGACTAGAGTTGCTCGACTGTTGTTCAGTACTAAGAAATGGAAACTGTCATCATTTCAACTTCTTGAAATATAGAAGCAAATTGAAAGATATAATAAGATAAGAAAGATAGATGAAGTACATTATGACAAGAGATTCTTGACTGTTGTTCAGTACTAAGAAATGGAAAATGTCATCATCTTCACTTCATGAAATATAAAAGCAATTTGAAAGATATTATCATCATTGTCTTCCTGAAAGTATATTATTGTTTAAATACAAATAAAACAAAGTTATGGTCAGCAGGGTCATGTTGATCAAACAGCTTGAACTCATTTTTGTGGAGAGAAGAGGAATATAAGAACCTTGATGTTGTGTGGTACGTTATCATTTGTGGTGTGAAGGAGCGTCTGGTCGAGGTCAACTAGCAACACAAGTTTGTGTTTCTCCAGCAGATGGGCTCGGTCTGCTGCTCCCAGCCGCTCAGCCTCCTGAGAATTGCAGAGCAACATCAGCAATTAACTCAAAAATTTACATTTTAGCCAAAATATGTTAGTAAATCACTTGCACAGTGTGTACATAACAGAAAATTTTGAGTAATGAATTAAAAACTAGATAATAACTTGTTTTAATATTTATAAGCACTGATTTAAAAAAAATTTCAATACCAGCATATTATAGCTATGAAAAACTAAAACAATTAATTTAAAAATTAAAACTACACAGTAAATATTTTCAAACACATACTTCCACAGTGACTCTGAGGTTAGGCATGGAGTGCAACATAGAGACCGTCTTGGGTTGTATGTTTGCTCGGCCTGGTTCCCTTGCACTGCTGTCCTCCTCCTCATCATCGTCTTCTTCAAAAGTGATGCCACAGTCACCGCAGGTGTTGCCCAGCATTGTGGGATGCTTGCACACTGACACTCTCAGTAAAGGTGATCTGCAGAACACAAGGTATTCTCTCTAATTATTTTTTGATTGAAGATTTCTGTAAAACAATACAGATGTCATGTGAATCTACAATTCATCACTGTACTTTAGGCAAAATGTCCAAATGTATTGGCAGATGAATTGCATAATGCTACCAAATATGTGGTCAATGCTGTTAACTACCGCATCAGTAGTAAAGTGCAACACTTTGAGACGAGTATACTTGAAAAATGATCAAAATTTAATTAATTACCCTTCAGTGCAATGAGTTTTGAAATTTAATGATCATGGGGAAACTAGAAGATTCTTTGGCCGAGTTGAATGCTGCAGACACATAAAGTTAAAAATATAATCTTATCAACTTACCCAAGAGTGACAATTTGTCCAACTTTGATGAGGATCTCTCTCACAGTTCCTGACTTGGCTGACTTTATCAAAAGTTTGTTGCTGGAACTTGAACTTGATTTTGAATGTGTTGCATGTTTGCTGATGGACAATTCTTTGTCTTCGCAGGCTTCCAGCTCACATACACGCTGACGTAAGTACACTGGACCTCCAATGAACTTGATGTACACTTGTAAAACCTGCAAGAAATATATTTTTAAAATATTTAATGTATGATTCAAGTTAAAATAATTGAAGACAAATAAAGTATACTAAACAAATATTTAAAATTTGGCAGGTTGACTTGCATGCATAAAGTGATTTGAAATCTCACAAAAAGGACCATCATGTCTCTTTCTTTGTATTTGAGGCTACATTGCCATGCCTCAGCCTATCACCAATTATCTACCCATCATTCCATATATATACATGGCATCACACCATACAATGGTTAAGAATCAAAATATGTGCTTTCAAAGAATAAGTTGTGGATCTGATAGGGTCTCTATGCTCAAAACTTGAATAAAATTTAAAAATATAACTCAGTACTCACTGCAGTGAGTGACAGAGAGCACATTTTCATATCGACGAAAACATGAAGCCACGGACGGACAGACAGACGGACAGATGGACAGACGGACATGGCAAGCACAATAGTGCATTTTTTCATAAATGAGAAAATGCACTAAAAAGGAAATTAAAACACTAACTATAATTTGATTCAATATAATTTAGTTGCTGTAATTAAATTGAAGTGATATGGCTACTTCTGTCTTTTAAAAATTTGACAGATATGTCATTTATGTTATCTGACCAAAACAATATTTAAATGCCCATACCGTACTTCAATTCTAGAGCATGGCAAGGAGTGATGCTTTGTATGAAATGATAGGAGGTGATTATTTATTAACATGTGGCAAGAGAAAACATTTTTTGTTGCCCTTCCTCAAGTTCATTTTTGAGTACTATTAGTAGACTAGTAAGTATCTTGGATACTGCCATTATCATAAATAAGAAATTGATTAAAATATTAAATAGATCAGAAAATTAAAAACGAGCGATTCTAAAAAATCACTGGTTTGCCACTTGGCGTGGTGAACAATGGTGAATTAGTGTAGCTTGATACACAAACAGCAGAATAAGATTGGTCATTTTTGGGAAGTTTTTAATTATTATATATGTACCAGTATACAGTAATTTGCAAGCCAAAGGGTCAAGCTAGAAATCAATTAAAACTTTGTCCAAACTGACATGCCACATACCTACCTTGTAAGTTTTTCCTGGGGGCAATCCATCTTCTCCTGTCAAATGCAATACCTCTGTGTCATCCATAATACAATTTAGTTGTCATGAAGTATTCATCTGTTAAAATTTTTGAAGTGAATAAATTAAGGATTTACTTCTAAAGTAAGTGGTTGTCCTATATTTAATAAACAATAACGATATTACCATCAAATGGGGTAATAAAAGACGAGTAGGGTAAATTGGGACAGTCCTCCATCATGGCATAAAAATGTTATAGCAGCAAAACTAATTGAAATATTGCCAAACTAAAAATAGTGGCATAAACTTTGACATTTTTCTATCTATGTAGAATTAAGGAAGTTAAGAAACATACATCTACTATATACATAGCTCTAAAGGTCACTGGAAAAAATGTTTAAAAAATTATATTTTGGAAAATTACTTCTGCAAAGGTCTGTAGTAAAACAAATGAGGCAGTGTAGTAAAACGAGGCAATGTTTTGCAAATAATTTCAGGGAAGTATTGATAACCTAGCATGAATTTTACAAGCATTTTAGTGAGAAAGTATTGAAACATTATTTAGCCTAGGGTCATTTAGGATTTAGCCAGTAGGATTAATTAATTTGATCAGCTTGCTAAATGCAAAAATTTAGCATGTCGTTCATGCACAATTTTGTCAATTAGAATCATTTCTTGACGTCATTAATAACGAGGCTATTTATTTAAAATACAATGAATAATGAAGGTATTACAATATCTGATGGTTGTCAAGATTATCTAGTCTGCTTTGTTTTCAAGTAGCGTGCTCAATGGTCAACGCTAAGTTTTAGCACCTCTTCAACGCTTTACCAATCAAGAGTTTAGCGCAATGAAGCGGACAGGAATAATTCCAACTACGCTCATTCAAGCCTAATGTCAATAAAAGCTTCATTTTTAATTAGGACCACGTTAGTTTAGATTTGATGAACTAATGCATGGAAAATGTGCTAGAAATTATCATTCAGCATTACACTCCAAATTGAGGTGGTTCAAAAAATCTGACACTGCAGCACCGCAGTAGCGCTGCATCCCTCAGTGAATGTGTTGTAATGACAATTCCGCTGTTTCCAGGTGTCTCTAATGGGCGAGGCAAACTCGTGGTCTACTTGTGAATTGAGAGGTAAGGGCAAAAGGATAATGAAACAACTGGTCTAAGAAATTAATAAAAGGGATCTTGTACTAAAGTGAACTCAGGTGACTGATATAAATGAACAAACTACTCTGTAGTTGTAAGTTAAATGATGTGTAAATCATAAGTGATTGTAATGAAAATTAGAGCATGGGCAGGCAAGATGGAAGTTGTTGCAGTTAACTGGACAATGGTTTTGCTTGATAGGATATTATCATATAAAATAAAAAATTAAAAAATTAAAAAATATATAAAATTAACTATTAATGGGAACAATTTGCACAGCTTTGGATTGCAGGCAATGGTGTTATGATAATTTTCATTAGTGCTGGAACACAACAAGAAACAGATGGAATTGTTAAATATGGATGCATCAGACAGTTTAAAATCAGGTAAATAAGTGAAGGCCAGTGGAAGTCTAGTAGCTACTTCAAACTATTGTTAGTCATGAAAAGATCTGGTCAAATGACATGATTTTAGATCTTCTGTGAACAAGGCATGAAACGGAAAAGAATCGGAGGCAGACCACATCAGGCCTACACTTTGGCGCTGAGATCACTATGTTATGTTATGTTAAGGCAGCAAGGGATATGCTACATCCTAGCTTAATTATGCTAGGATGTAGCAACTAAGCGTCACCATGTAGCAACTAAGCATTGCCGAACTAAGCGTCGCTGGGCCGGCGACGCTTAGGGCTTAAAAACCCATATATTGGCAATGCTGCATCCACCCTCTGCACCCTGGGTTTCTAGTTCAGACATAATAAAAAGGACCAAAGGAGGCCTCTAAAAATTAGAAATAAAAATTTTCAAACAATTTTTTGTCTACCAGGCATTGAAAAAGGAAATAAAAAGACAAATGAAATTATAATTATATATTGAAAATTTATAACAATTAATTTTGCAGTTTCATCCGCAGCGCGGGAAGTCAAAAATGTAATCCAAGATGTTAATGGTGCTCTTTAATACGTGCCGGGCACTTGCATACATATATGGATCTTGGAGTAATTCGATATGGACTACCGGTAGTTTAAGAATTTGCAGTTGTTCAGTCTCTAATTTAATAATGAACTATTCCATTCGAATTCACGTGCTAACAAATTCAATTCTATGCAAGTGGTATTTCAAATGATGAAATGTGAACGAGATTGTGAGGAAATGTGAATGAGTGTAAGTCTGTGTATGAGAAATAGTGAACGCGTCTAAAGAAAGACTTGCCCTAATCCCAGATTGCCACCCTGCATTACAGCAAGTAAAGCGGATTGAGGAATTTGTAAATTTTATAATGACATGTTTGCAAAATGCAAACCTCGCTTTTTTTCAATCAAACAAAAATACATGACATTAGAGCCAGGAGATTTAATACCTACTGAAATTATTTGATGTTAGAGGCTTAGAGCCGGATTGAGCCGCAATATTTCAGAAAAAGTAGGACTTTTCCCAACCTGGGGTCAGTGGGTCACTGGGGTGAACTCCTCACTCTTGTGTTCCAATGTGCTGCTTCCGGCCCGTGCCGCATTCTGACAAGTCGCCATATTGGAATGAGGAAGGAGTTGTATAACTTGTATCTTAACCACCAACAATCTCATATTCTCACTTTCACAGAAATGTCTGAGTTTTGAATCAGTCATTGTAATTTGTCAGCTATAGCCTAATCAGATCATTTCAATCTAAGTAATGGGTGAAGGGTGATCATGATTCATGGGTCTTAACTCTAACTCTGATGCATTTGGACAATTTGGTGAAGCACCAGGGTCAATAAGATCTTGACCCTTGGCCTCAGATGAATTGATCATTGAGGGATCGTTTAGCATTTTCACAAATCACAATTATTAGGAAACAGAGAGGTTTGCATGAAGTTCCTCTTTTGACAACGGTTCAAGCTTCTCTCCCTGTGAGGCTGTGATCATTTCTTGGTTACTTACTTACTTACTTGGTTACTACTTGGTTACGATGAGGCGCGTCACCGTCTTGAGTATTGGCGCCCCCAATCTGCATTCTTCAGGGTGCATTAAATGTTGTTGAGCATGTTGGTGGCTTGGAGGTATTTGATGATCAGTTCAGCAGGGAATTCAGGGGTCATAAGCGAAGACAAGCAGATAGGAACCGAGAGGCGAGCGCATGCGGATTTCAGCTGGTCACGTTGAGGAGACAGTACCGGACAGCTGATGAAGAGGTGTTCAAGGGTGAGGCGGCTCTGACATGTTGTGCACTGGAGTGGGGGGGATCTTGAGAAGTGGTGGCCGTGAGTTAACAGGCACACTCCTAGCCGGAGCCGCGTGATTGTGACTTGGTGAGGCTGAGGGAGAGATTGCTGAGTTAGTGGGCCTAGTATTGGCTTGAAGGAAGTCAGTTCTTGTGGTTGTTCAGTCCATGCTCTCTGCCATATGCTGCGAAATGAGTGTGTGATGAGTCTTCTCACATCAGCAGAGCTATAGGGCATCTGGGTGATTTGGGCAAGCTCCAGTGAGGCATGGGCAAGTCTGTCAGCAGCTTCATTGCCTTTTATTCCAACATGTCCAGGTACCCACTCCAAGGTAAATTTGTTCGGTATTGTAGTCATAAGCAGGTTTTGTATCCAAGGCACCAAGTGATGTCTGGAAGGGTTGGCTGATTGGAGGCAGGCGATGCAAGCAAGGGAGTCAGTAAATATTACAAATTTGCCCATTTTTTCTGCAGCAAATTTTATTGCAAAATATATTGCATACAGCTCTGCTGAGAACACTGAAGTGGCAGGTGGTAGTGGGGCTTTAATTTTGAATAATGGGCTGTAGATTCCACATCCGGATTTGCAGTCGCTCACAGAGCCATCTGTGTAGACTTGGTGGTGAAGAGGGTATTTATGCTCCAGTAAGTCCTTAAAGGCTTGCTGCCATTGCTCTGGGGAGGTTTCTTCTTTGTGTTGTACAGCTAGTGTGGCAAAGGTTCTGATTCTGGCTGGGATGTATCGTGCTTGCATGGGCACTGTGGGGATATCCTGTGCCTTCAGTTGGAATTTTCTAAAGCCCTGATATGCTCGGCCTGCAGCTGGTAGCGGTCGTGCAAGGTGTTCATATAATGCATAGGGGTGGTAGTTGAGTAGCAGGAGTCTTGCTGGGTGACGTGGTATGGTGAGGGCGCGGGTACAGTACATCAGTAGAATCTGTTGTCTTCTTAGATTGAGTGGCATCAGGTCTGCCTCTGCCTCCAACTTTACGACAGGGGTACAACGCAGTGCCCCGAGTATGATGCGTGCAGCTTCATATTGAATTCTGTCAAGCTTTTGTAAGTGGGTGGCTGCCGCTGGGCTTAGTAGAAAACTGGCATAGTCGAGTTTAGATCGGATTAATGCAACATACAGCCGCTGAAGTGTTGAGGCATCAGCTCCCCACCGCCTGGCAGCAACCACTCGCAGTAGCCGAAGATCAGCTTGGCATCTGGAGGTGAGGTTTGCTATGTGCGAGCCCCAAGTCAGTTTTTGATCAAATATAACTCCCAGAAAACGGACCTGGGACACAAATTGTAGATTTAAGCCATTTAGTATTAGCTGTTGGTCTGGAGTTTGGCGTGCTCTGGTAAACACAATGGCTGTGGTCTTCTCTGCAGAAATTGTTAGCCCCCACTGTTGGGACCACCTCTCTATAGTCTGTAGGGCACCTTGCAGAATGTTGATAGCTTCTGTTGGCGTTGGTTGGGACACCCAGAGGGATCCATCATCTGCATAAAGTGAGCACTGCACTCGTGGGGGAACCATTGCAAAGAGGTCATTGATCATAATACAGAACAGCGTTGGGCTGAGTACAGAGCCTTGGGGTACACCGCTGTATACCACCCACACGGCCACCCACACGGGTGCGTAGTGAGCGCAGTGAGAGGAAGTCTCTCACAAAGCAGGCCATGTTGCCACTGATTCCTATGCTCCTCAGTTTTAATAAGATACCACCGTGCCAGACGCTGTCAAATGCTCGTGATATATCAAGGAACGCTGCAGCACATGAGTTGTTGATCATGAGGCTTTCATGAGCTGCTGATTTCAGGCAGAATAG